AAGATAGAGTCCAATAAAACAACCCTAACAATAGCTGTCATACTATCGATATGGTTATAACCTTGGATACTTTTAATAATTATTTATTAATAAAGTAAACTTTGATGAGTTTACTATCAAAGCTTACGATTTAAGTTTACTTTAACTTTTGATAACACCTCTAATAAATTAATTATTTATTTTTAAATTGATATACTATCATCTCATGTTATCCTTATTTAATAGGGTATATCATTTACAAGTGAAAAGTTGAGTCATGACTGATCTATTTATTAAAGATAATTTTGAAAAAAAAAATACTAATTACTCATTGAAAAACTAAAAATATATTATATATTTGAATATATATTTTTAGAAAAATAAATGTCTCATATTTTTAACAAATAGAGCATATCACATTCTAATGGTTTATTATCAAGAGAAAATATTCATGGAGTTTATTTTAAAAAAAATCTAATCTTAAATATTGAAGGTGAAATTACCTTTTTTAATTTTAAAAAAAATTATTCGTTAGTACGGTTAAACTTCTTTTAGCCTTGTGATCTTATTTGATTTTCAATTTGATAAGTTTGTAATTAAGATCTAATTTTGAACATTTTTACTAATGTCCTCTCCATTTCGTTGACGTGCCTATCTTATCTTAATATTTTAAATTGGATAGGTGTTCTTGACGTGAACAAAGTAATAGGAATTATATCATGTAGTATAATGTGACATTTGATGCAACACAAGACTTCAATGAATTAGCTTGACTAGTACCTGCTTAGTTAAACTGTTAAGATAATAGATATGATTATTTTTTTATGACTAGATAATAGATGTAATTAGTCATCTAAAAATAGCAACAGACGTAAAAAAATTTAACAACAAAACTTCGAATATGTTTTTATAAATAAGAAAATCTTATTTAGAAATCTTTAAAATTATAAAGACGAACGAAAAAAAAATCAATAAAATGATAGAAGACAAATGGAAGCAAAATTAAGTCAAAAAAATAGAAAGCACTTCCTTGATCTACTGGAAATGAAATTTAAAATTTGTAAGAAGTTTTGGGAGAGTTACATTTGATTGAGCTTAACAATATTTGAATTTGACTAAGTCAAATAGTCATATAAAAAAAAGAACTTATTTAAAAGAAACATCAATCTTTCATATAAAAAAAACAGAAAAAACAAGCATCAATAATCCTAATAAAATGACACGAAAACAGGAAATGAATAATAATAATTATTTATCTTGTTTCACGTGGGTCATACTCCCATTCTGAATCTTTATTATAACAAAGATGTTTTTTAAAAATATTTTCATACATATTAAGAAAATGTTATTACATGATAAATTTGAAAAACAAATCCAAAAATTCTAGTTTTACCTCCTATTATAAAACCCCTTTATAATTAATGAGATCACATTAAAAATTTTTGGGACAAAAATGAAAAAAAATATTAGATTTTAAGTTGGATCAATGTGAAAATCAAGACTCTTTTATATAAATAATCAGAGGGAGTATTGACTGTGCTCTTCGAATATAAATTTAACTAATGTTAAAATTAAAAAAATCACAAGACTAAACAATGAGGAAAAAAAATCTGTCCAAAATACTCAAAGAAATTAAAAAAATTAGAACCACATAAATAAAGAAATGAAACTAATTCGCAAAGCCCGCATTTTATTCTTGACTCTTTCTCAATAATGGAAAGAACTTGAGCATCCCAACAACATCCATAAAAATTTATATAGGTTAATGGTTGAAACCCTCTCAAATATATAAAAATATAATGCACTGTTAACAAAAAAAATAGTCCTGATGATTTTATGGCAAAACATAATTTTAATTTTGAATAAAAACATTAACAGAATTATAAGAATTAAATAAAAACATGTCTTGCAAAAACAAAAAAATTACATGCAAATGACAATCTTTTCCTAATTAATTACATTGACAATTACAATGTGAACCAAACAAGTTTGTTTTTTGGCGGCAATATAATTAATGGGATTGAGTTGTGTAATCGGTACGAATGAAATCTCTTTTTGTTTTGTAATACTGAAAAAGAGAAAAAAAAAAAAAATTCGTGTGCCACTGGGTTATCTGAACACTGGGGATTCCATGCATTCGTGCAAAACCAAAAAGCAAAGCAAATAAAGTTGAAAAAGAAAAACCAAAAGCCAAAGCACTTCATTCCCTTTCTTTTGCTTTTAATTGTTTATTTCTTTATTTATTTTAATTAATTTCTTTTTCTCTTCCTCAATTTCAACACCAGCCATTACCCTTTTCTTTATTTTACTTCAACCCTCTTTTTCACGCCCACATGCATCCTCTAAAGCCTCCTCAATATTTATACCCCCATACTTTAATTAAAACCCTAACCTTTTTCTCCCTGCAATTTTTTCTTTTCTTTTTTTTAATACCTTTCAAGAGGCCTCAATTTTATTGTTGGTGATTTCTTTTTGGGAAGTTTCTACCTTTAAATGAAATTAACTTTCCTCTGACATTTTAAAAAGAAAAAAGAAATTGACGGATGGCCAAGATCTCATTATTAATTAGTTGACAGTTAAAATTAGTACCAACTACTAGATTTTGTAAATTTCACTATCACATCACAGGACCATGCGTGAATTACTGAACACTTAACTCTCTTTAACTCAATTCGTGCATTATCACTGGTTTGATTATATATAATCAAAAAAAAGTTTTATTTTGACCATTTTGATCACCCATGCATGTATATCAGAGGCAGGATTTTTTTTTTTAAATAATGTTCCATACTCTAAATAACCTAATTAATTCCCTTTCGAATTCTTCACACGTCTTTTATTTTCCCTTATTTCGTAAACCCTCTGGGTAAGGAACATATACAAAACCGTAAAATTTAATTTCTAATTGTTTTCTCTCAAATATGGACCCATATACATAAAGACACAATACACAACTCACCATTGTGTTTTTAAGTTTAATTTACTTCCTCTAAAGTGGACATTATTTGAAATGTCTCTCAACTCATCCACTTTTTTCTATATTTCTACTCAATCTATATTTTTTTAATAATTTTTAAATACCCATCATTCTCTATCTAGCCTAGAGTTAGGTTTCTCATGTTATATGCTTCTTAATCTTATAATTAACCAAAACATATATTCACCGTACAGTATAAGCTCATTTATTATTTAATGTCTGTATACGTACATGTGAGCATTCATTCTTGTTTTTTTATATATGTTTAGTTGAAGGGCATGCATGTGGTTCGTTGGGGAAGGCCTTAACTGTGATGCTTGAAGAGTTTAATGATGTTAGTTGTAAAATGGTAATGTATAGTACAACTACAAGCTGGATTGTGATTGACACCAACAACACAACAACATATAGAAGAAGCTCAGATTCGTTTTTTTTTTTTCAGTTTGCTGCCACACAAATGTTTTGTTTTATCTCATAATTTTTATCAAAATTTGGCATTCTCTTCAAAACTAATTCATTCATTCATTTCCTACCTGGAGCTACCTCACATTTATTATGTCCCAGATTTTAAATAAAGTTATATTGTCTTGCTAGACAGGGAAGCTATTAAAGAAGGTATATATATATATATATATATATTTGTGTAAACGACAATTAGCTAGGCATTTCCTGAAAGAGCGAGAGTGATAATATGCAGAAAACACATGCATTTTCCAGGGGAAAAAAAAAGTTTATGTCCTTTTTATTTGGTGTTTGATGTCTATTTTGCACCAAATACTAGAAAGTGCCGAAAATAGAGGCTTTAGTTTACTTTTCCTTCTTAGTTCTTCCTCCACCAAAAGGGATTATAGTAAACATATACAAAACAGAAAAATAAAATCTAAAAGAGCGTTCAAAAAAAGAGATCTTATTTACTTTCTTATTGTATTATTATAGAGTCTCGTTGATGTATTCTCTGACCATATATATCTTGTTGCTAGCATGTTGAAATTCCTGAATATAGTCATTTCTTCTTTTCTTGCCTTCAACACACACAGAGATTTATATAGAGAGAGTATGACAAGGAGATATCTCATCTATTAAGCTCTAATAAGTTCAGCAAGGTTATTATGCCCTTCACACCTATAAACAAGGGGGAAAAAAATATACATAACATGAAAAATCTTTGAATATAGATATCTAAATTGGATTTTCTTTTAATTTTTGGTAAAGAGAGAATGACACGAAAAACCTTGTGCAAGTTTCACTCCCATTGTTTATATTCCTGCACTTTGTGTGTGTGTCTGTGTGTGTGTCTATACCATTATTTTTCTGACTGCAAAAGATCTATATTGAACCTTTAAGATTAAGCTTTGTATTAATTTAAAGCTACGAGAATGAGACATGTACGACTCCAAACGCTCTGCTGCCACTTCAGAGAATTTTTCTTTTGTAAATAAAAATGTCATCTGAACTGCGCATTTCAACCGTCATCTTTATCAAAAGCGGATGATACTTCAAAACTTTATCAGATCAGTAAAAAAATGATAATATCAATGATAAAGTAATTGACCTTCCGCCTATACATAACAAGTAACAACTAAGTTATAACGTACTAGCTCGAGTGCTTTATTTAATTAACAAGTCATCGGTAGTTTAATTGAGAATATATATTCTAACAAAATGAAAAGAAACAATTAACTTGGGAGGACTTTGATTTATATCTATGTCAATAAAAAGAGAATTGCAACATAATTTTCTTAAATGCTTTGCTTTGTAGTTTTCCTCCAAAAAGAAATTGCCTGAGAAGAATACACAATTGTATATTTTTCCTAGTTCCACTTTTTCTTAGCTCACAACCTGCTTTATCATATCGTCCCTTTCTTTTGTAACTTGACTAGGGCCCCTATTCTTTTTGTCACTTTATTCTAAGTTTTCAGTCTTTTACTTGAGTCCACACACACACACAAACACAAACACATCCTCACAATCCTTTCTTTTTCTCAAAGTGTGAAAGCATGTGAGTATGCCTAGGATTGAATATTGGAATAACCAAACTATATCCTTTGGTAGAGAAACAAGAAGGAAAATATATTGATGATAAAATGAAAAAAGTGGTCCATTACATTACCAAGGATCACTTCATACTTTAAGGTAGCCAAAGCTCTTGCTCTCTTTTTTCTCTCTTTTGTCTCTTTCTTTCCCTCTCTTTCTCTCTCTCAGATTGCTCCAGAAACATACAAATCAATTAGATAATTTGACGAGAAATATTTACCATGAAATATATATTATATCGTGATATATCGATTTGGATGGATCTCACACAAGAGCTTGATAGGAAGGACAAACTTTTCCCCCCCACCTCCTTCTACTTTTGCTGCTTTCTGTCTTTCTTGTCTCCTTGTCTTTCTTTAGCTCCTTTCACTTTTCTTCCCCCCCCCACCCCCTGTGTATTTTTTTTTTTTTGCTTTCTTTTCCTCTGATTTTCTCATCAAGTACCGATTCTCTCATTCCAGCCCTAGCTAGCCGATTAAATCTTCCATGCATATTATTATATTACTCAAAGAGAGATCAGATATGATCTCAAAGTGGCTGCCCTAAACTAAACTCCAAATCCAAATCCAAATTTGGTTTCTTGGGGCTTGTTCCTGAAAGATCTGACGATGCACTTCCATCTGATACTCTCTCGTAACTTTGGCATTTTGGATCCATCTCCTTCTGAAGAAACCAAAAAAAAAAAAAAGATCAATTTTTTAAAAAAATATTATCACACATTGTATTCTAGCTTATTGGAGAATCTAATGATAAACTCATGATAAAATAATAGCATAAGAAAAGTGTTTGAAATGGTTTTGGAATTAAATCAAAAGGACAATTTGACAGAGAGAGGACAATGGGACATTTATATAAGCTGGGTTGTACATACTTAAAAGCCTGTTTTAGGATTTGCATGATCATATATAGGCAACTTTCCAATTTTTTGTTTTGTTGTATTTTATGTTCATGACTGCCTTATATATGTTCTTTAGTTGACCCATGATCTGCATTTGAGTCAAATGAATTAGGCTTAGGATATTAGATCTATATATGTTGTTGGTCAAAAAGACCTATATATGTCTGTTTATTATATGGTTATTAACTGCTACCACTAATTCATTAGAGCTAGGCACTTCTTTTACAGCTCATTTCGTTTTTTCCTTTTTAACTTTTTACCATTGAAATGGTGAAAATGACAGGTCTAAACCCATTTGAATTTGGGAAGGACAAAGCAGCTTTTGAAAAGCTCTTTCCTTTTCTCGTCTCCATAACGAATGAATGTGCATGGCTACATGAAAAAGATCAAGCGTAGTTCTCTTTTACTCTCATCTCCCTTTCATGCATTATTCCTAAACACAGCTAAAGCATGCTTGCTTATAATTATACTACTAAATAAAGAAAACTTTGGAATTAATTAAAAGGCCTATAGCTGATCTCCTTGGGAAAGAAAATAAATTAAAGGGCTATAGTCATCAAAGTAATAAATTAGCAATTAATTTACCTCAAAAGAACTCAAGTTTCCTGCACAGTAATCCAGCTTTGGCTTCCCATGCAACCAAACTTCCCTGTCAAAATTGAATCAAAACATTACTTTGAGAGAATATTTTGCCATTACTAGAATCCATGCACAAGAAATTAAAGCAAACTGAGGAAAGAAAGCCATCTTTTACTTTCTTAAATGCGCGCGCGCGCGCTCTGCAATATTCTCCTTTTATTTATTCAGCTGATTGAAGTAAAGTTGAAGTCATCCTATGAAGTATAGCCCATGACATATAACAATAAGACCATTGAAGGAAGTTTCAAAGGGCATATAGCTTTATCAGCACCTTGAGCTTTAACTTTGACAATAAGTATTCCTACAACGGTGGGGGTCCCATTTAATAGTCTCATGTCTGAGCCCCACAAAATCCCAAGGAAAGAGAGATATCGATGAAACTCCATATCTTTGGACTATCTTCTATTGCAGAGAACTAGAGATTATTATTACCCCATCATGGATTTCTTGGGTGCGTGTGGCTCTGGACAAACAGAACAAAGCACACTGAAATGATTTATTCCTTGCTGATTTTTTTTTTTGTGGTTTTGTGTGAGACTTGAGAGAGAGAGAGAAAGAGGGAGAAGGACAAGGAGGAATGCTTTTATATATATATATATATTATATGACATGACAGGCGAAACATACATATACATATATATATATATAGTATGAAACAAAAGTTTGTATTATTATTAGAATCGAAATAAATAACAATGTACAAAAAGTTAAACAACCAAGTCATGAGTAGCAGCCAGGAACTTAATGATGAAGTTTAGAAGTCTTAACAGCCAAGAAAATGGTTAAATTTACAGTAACTTTCAACAATATGAACCTAGCTAGCTATATATATTGCTCGTATTCTCAATTTCAGTAGTTTTACACACTGTATGCAACCTCTGATTAGGATAAAGAGAATACAAAGAGCTTAAATAGAACAAATTACATATATAATTCCTGGAACTATTACCTGGAAGAGTTGCTCCAAAGCCCATGTTGTTCTTTAATAGCACTTGATGTTGTTTGCTTGGTAGATAGATCAGACCTCCTTGAATTGTCCATGTCAAACATTAAATCTTCAGAATTATCTCCAGATGATCCATTGTCATATATATCAGATTGCCCTTCATTTTTTATTAAAGGGTAGAATAAACTTAGAAAAAAGCAAGCCAACTTAATGATATTAATAAGTCAATTTCGAAGACTAATAATTGGCAATATTCCTTCTTGCCTCAACATTCCAAATTTTAATAAAGATCTCTCGGGAAGATCTTAATTGTTATATGGACACTAACCTGAGGATGCTGCTGCTTTATCTGTTGTTTTCACCGTTCGGTACATCTGCGTAAAAATTTTGTATTAGCAGCATGAGACTGTCTACGTGCATGCATTACCAACAAAGATATATGTAAAAACTACTTCGTAATTAAGTATATTGTTGGTTTGAAAAAGATGATGACACATCACACTAATTAAGAGACAGACAAGTGGAAAGTGGAAACCCAAGAAGTCGACAGAGAAAAGAGCAAAACCCCTTGAACAAACCTTCCCATCGAACCTGTGAGATTTAAATTTGAGTCACAGAATCACAGTGTCGTACAAGCCCTAAATACAGAAGCATTAATGGCTATGTGAAATCAAGTGTATGTGGTGTATGCACATGAATGGAAGCTTGTGACTAACCCTGGTTAATTGTAGGTGCAGTTAAGAAACCCCTCTGGATAGATATCATTGAGAAATGATGATGTTGTTCTGTACTTGCTTACCATTTTTTCTTTTCTTTATATATATATATATATATATTTGCTCCTCCCATAAGATAAAATGCATTTATATTTTTCCTCAGCGATGGTCTGAAATGTGAATCAGTGTTTGAGCAATTGTCTCGGCTTGGCTGCGATTCAATTTGAATTCGTGGGGCTTTAATTGTTGTCTTACTCGTTTTCAGAAATCGATAAGTACCTCCCTACTCCCCCCCCCCTCTCTCTCTCTGGGTAATTTCTTCTCTCTTTTTTTTCTTTTTCAATGGTTGAGCTTGACTGGGTTCGTTCTTCCAAGCAAAAAGCTGTGTGTTAGGTTGCAGAAGCAGAGGTAACAGATCTAATAGAAAAAGAGAAGCGCAGAGGAATTGAGAGACTCTGCAAGGAAACCCATGGGAATTTGAAATAATAATATTACATATAGATTATCGATAAACCAACTTCTTACTGCAATGTGGGGGCTGTAAAAGTGTAAATATTAGTCAATATACAAAGTACGTTCAGTAAACCGCCACCAAAAATCCTATCACCAACCTTACCTTGCAGCCGTATTAATCAAGAAGTGATATGAAAATACACACACACACACACACACGATACTTATTTTTTTTTCTTTTGTTTATTTGGAAAAACTAGCAAGTGTATATATAGAAATTAAATCCTGAATATCATACACAAAATAAGTAGATCGATTATGGAAGCAGGAGATTTAATTACCTGGAGATGAGATTTAACATGAGCTAAAGTAAGATCCTTGACATCCATTAGCTCAAGAACTGACTTTGGTGTTGCCCCTAGAACCCCATAAACAGAAAATTAGCTATAGCAGTTGTAATATATTTTGGCATCACTATCGTGTCTTTCATGTTATAATATTCCCATGTGGAAGTAAGAAATTGCAGAGGAGAGAAAGAGGCATAGATGTACATACTTTCATGGCCACCCAGAAGCTCAACGGCATGGACAAAGCGAGCATGGAGAGTGGTAGTCCAACGCATCCGAGGAGCTCTTATGCCGCGCTTAGCAGGAAAGCGAGACAACAACCTAGACCTCATCAAACCTTGGTGAGATTGAAAAGTGGTCGAAGTTGTGGAGGTCGTCATGTTAGATACAGAAGACGGAGGAGGAGGAGGAGGAGGATGAGGAAGAGTAACAGTGGAATAATTAGCAGCATCAACAAGACCACCAAATGGGATATTAGAAGGAGGAGGAGGAGGGTTTTGGTAGAGAGGAATTCCTCTGATGGGTCTGAGAAAGCCCAGGTCTTGGGCCAGCCTCTGGTGGTGGTGGTGGTGGTGAAATGACGACGACGATGGCAAGGGATTGGCATTATTGTTGCCGTTTTGGAAGAAGAGACGGTGGTGGCGGCCATGGATGTTGTTGTTGCTGTAGAGTGAGGAAGAAGAAGAAGAAGAAGAAGAAGAAGAGGAAGGAGGGGTTGGTGTGGAAGTGATATTAATGGAGGAGGAGGAGAGAGAGAGGTCGAAGGAGTGATGATGAGTGAGAAAAAGATGGTGATTATTATCAGAAGGTTTGGGTTTGGGCAATGAAGAGTTTGAAGAGTCCAAAGCTCTCTTCCAGAACCCCAAATCCACCTCTGCACCATCTCTCCTCCAATTGGAACTAGGTTTGGTGTTTGGAGGGCTGATTTGCAGAGACAAATCTGGCTGTGCCGGGAATAGCTCCATCCACACAAACACCAATTTTCTCTTACCTTCCTCTCAGCTGTAGATAGAGCCACTCCGATTTTTTGTCTCGGCAATATGTGTGTGTGTGTGTGTGTGTGTTGCAGAGAAGTATGAAGTAAGAATGATGATGGGGGTGATATTCTGGGAATCAGAGGGAGAAGCTTGGTTGCTTATAAAAGTGAAGAGATTGAGTGGGTAGGATGGGGATTTTAATAAATTGAGGAAGGAGTAGTTGCAGGGGGGAGATTTTGAGAATGAAGAGAGAGAGGGAGAGAGAGGGACGAGGAAGATAGAGATAGAGAGAGAAGTGAAGTAAATAGTTGTTTCTTTTGTGTGAAGTATATGAGAGAAAATGACACTTTGAGGGACTACAGGATGGGAGTAGAGAGAGAGTGCTCGTGGACGTGGGGAGTAGGCTAGCACTGGTCTAGTAGGGTGAGAGAGGTAGAAAAGGAGGAAAAAAGAAGAAGAAGAAGATAATAATGATAATAATAATAATAATAATAATAATAATAATAATTAAAAAAAGATCTTCACAAAACAAAAATAATAATAATAAACATGGGATAAGGGGCGGGAAAAGAAGAGAAAAAGGTAAATAAGTTTTGCAACTTTTATTCCTTTTAATAAATGCCCTCTGGTTAATTTAACAAAGGAATGAAAAATTCACTTTTACGACCTTTCACGTTTGCATCCTCCATCCGCAACACTCTTTACTCAACTACTGAAACCTAGGGCACTCTATACCCCTTTTCATTTTCACGCCAATCTGTGTGTGTACACAAATTAATTTCCATATCGAAAGGATCGTGCAATATTTCCTCCAGTCTTGTTTATTATTCTCTCTTATTTATAAATTACATTTTATATATTTTATCAAAATTTAAAAAATTTAAACCTTATTAATTAACTTTATCTTAAAATTTAATAAATTTTTTTATCTATAATAAATATTTTTAAATTTCATTATTGATACTTTTATTCAAAACGTTTAATAAGGACAAAAATATAAAAAGGAGTATTGAAAATTGATAAATGCCTTATAAATATAATCAAATTTTCTCTTATTTCTCTACTCTATAAATAGAACCATAAGAGTAGACAATAAGAAAATATTTTTTTATCTTAATTATACATCATATTATTGACTGTTTAATTTATCACGAATTATATAGACACATATATATTACCCACGTTAAATGTTAATAAGAAAAAGGATGTTATTAAAATATACTAAGACTATCCACATTGCCAATGAACCCAATCAACCCAACTTTGCTTGAGCCATTAGGCTTATCTGCCCGAGCTATGCGCAAAGGTGATACATGGCATGACCTTCACCATGTATAGCCGACCCCTTTAAATCACAATATAAATTATTTTTTAGAAGTTACTACTTTGTTCAATCTAGTATCTATTTAGCCAACCCGATTCCATCGTGATCATATTAAAATCGATCTTTCCTAGCCCATAAAGTCACAAACACCCTTATCCAAAATAGAGGATGTAATTTTATAATTATTTTTTTAACTATACCCTTTCTTCATTTATTATTTTTTAATATAAGATATTTAATGAGGATATAATTAAAATGATGTACTTTTTTCAAGAGGTTAAAGTTTTACCTAACTTTTTTAAATAATTGTGAAGTGGTCACTGATGTCTTATATTATGATATGGATAGAATATATTCCCTCTGTCCCCATATGTAAGGTATTTTTAATTAAATTTTGCATACCCATAAAAGTTTGTTATTTAGTTGAAAACTAATAAAATCATAGCATTTTTCTAGTTTTGCCCCAATAAATATCATAATTAATATTGTTGTGGTGGGCAAATTATACAATTAATATATCTTCCTCTTTTCAAGACAAAAGTAAAATTGTCCAATTACTTAAGATTATTATGACACATCTTATATTAAGGGACAATATAAGTTTTTAGAAAACATCTTACTTCCTTCACCCCTATATATAAGATATTTTTAACCGAATCATACAAATCAATAAGAATTGGTTATCTAATTAAAATCAAAGTAACATTTTAATTTTTCCCTTAATTATTGTAAATGAAAAATAAATCTATTTTTTCAAGATAAATTAGTTAGAGTACTTATCTTTTTCTTTTTTCAATTTAATAAGGATATAATGGTCCATTTATTAAAAAATATACAAACAACTTTTTATATTTAAGAATAAAAAAAATTTTAAAAAATCTCTTATATATAAGGACGGAGGGGGTGTGTGTGTTCAATGAGGATAGAGTTGGAAACTCATTAAAATGGTTATAAGATTTCAGTTAGAAGAACTTTAAATAGTAATAAAGGAATATAAGTGTTTTGCTGAGAGCCCCATTACGCAATGATCAGTACTTAATGGGATAATTAATGGTGAAAATGAGCATTCGTATGACAGTTGAAACTTGAAATCAAGCGCTCGTGCGTATTATTGTTTGGTTAGCAGTAGCGTGGAGTAAGGGCCCACCGTAATGTTGGTATCATTTTCTGTTGAGTAATTAAGCCTTGCAAATTAAGGTTTATTTGTGGGTGGTTACATAGATCCGCTTCTCCTAACCAGTACTAACTGCGAAGGTCAATTGTCTGATTTACCCTCCCAATCAAATCCCCAGGGTTACATTTGTCTTCCTTACGTACAGTCGTTAAGTCTTCAATGAGACATGCCAAACAATTATCTCATCTACACATATTCCTTTCATACACACTGCTCTTGAAGCTTGTTTTTATTGTTCACATCACCAAATCCGACACTAATAAAAAGTTCAGAAATTGGAATACCTGTAACTCAACATTTTTATTCTCTCCGCTTTTTTAAGTACGCAAATTAAGAAGTATATAGTTAATACTCCTCTCGTTCTATAGCTATAGAAAAGAGAAAAAATTAATTTTGATCATATTTATAGGACACTTCACTACTTTTTATATTTATCTTTACTTTTCTTTTCTTATTGAATGTTAAAAAAATTATTAAAAATTATTATTTTTGTCCTTATTAAGAGGTAAATGTGAAAATTTATTAAATTTTAAGACAAAATTAATGACATTTAAGATTTTTTTATTCTGATGAAATATGTTGAAAGTGATTTATAAATAGAGAACCAAAGAATTTGTAACAATTTTAACAAAATTAACTCAGCTTAATTTTATTTTGATGATTAACGTTATCTTAGGCTTTTTTAAATTTAGTATGAACAAGGCATACTCTGTCCATATATATCACAATCTATAAGGTATCTTCTAAAAATTAACCTTCTTTAGTCTATAACATAGGGTGTAACGTCTCAAATTCTTAAAGTTTGAATTTCATTAATTAATTAGGGTAAACTAGAAACTTGAGTTTTAATTGAATTAATCATTTAATTGTATTTCTGGATTATTATAGGACATATCGAGACCTTAGATAATCTTAGGACCGGACTAGGATAGGTATTAATAGATCCCAGGTAGGGGGCCAAAAATGTGAAGGTTGGCACACTTTGCCATTTGCCACGATGGATAGGCATTTTTGATTTTAAATCAAATACGAACCCACATCTAAAACAAGAGACAAATAGAGAGAAGGAGTGAGAGGCAATGGAGGAGAGCTTGGGATCTACAAGGATTTCACTTTTGGAACATTTTGGAGGTATTCTAAGGTAGTTTAACATATGATTAAGCTTCCTAATCATTTCTCCTCTCTTCTATGCGAAGTTCCTTGATGTTTGGGTGTTGGGGGATGATGATTTTGTCTCTTGGGTTGGTAAATATGAACCTATTGAGTTTGTTGGGATTAGTAAAAGTTAATTTAAGCTTCTATGCCTAGGTTTAGTGATTTTATAATATTTTAGGATTGAGCTCTACAGTTTGGACGAACTCTAGATTAAATTTAGGACTTTTGAGAGCAATATGAGGCATACTTTAATGAATATTGTTTGAGTTGAGGGAAGCTAAATGATGTTAATAAAACATTGTTAGGTCATCGGATTAGTTAACGATAAAGGTTTAAGATTATGTGTAATTAATTTGAGCCAAATGATGCTTATGTTAGAACAAACAACTAATAATTAGCATTCAATTGTATATATTATAATTGTTTGGAACCTTATTGAGCTTGTGAAGGCTTGAGAATTCTTGGTGTTCCACTAGTAACCCTTTTCTATAACAAAAAGGTTAAGGTAACTGAATAACCTACTCTATTTGGTGGTTTGTTGATTCATTAATGAGTTTTATGAAATTATTATCTCTCTCTCTCTCTACACATGTAGGTGTGTATGGTTTAAAAATAAGAAATAATATGTGAAGTGGGCACTTGGTTTTGAAAATAAGACTTTAATTCTATATGCCCCTATGTTATTGAAATGGCCATGATCTTATTTTGTGACAAATGATAATAAATATTGCTATTATAATGTGAACATGAGATATTGTGATGCATGATTGTACATGTAAGGGTAGGGGATTTCCTTAGGCATGGAGTAGTGTAAAGACTATATGACATTCATTCACACCCCAAGTGGCTACAGTTTTCAATCTTACCTATTTGAAAGTCATAGCCCATCATATGTGGTGGTAGTTAGGCATGCAACACCTCGATTGTGTCTTAAGGGAGGATTCGTGGTTTGGAAGTGGAATGTGACATTGGATAGGTTGCCTTCCTTATTCAATATGCTTAGGTCTGTCTAGTCATATTAACTTAACCTAATGGTGTGTCCGTAGATTTAGTCGCTAATATTGAGGAGGTTCAGATGGATTTGGGATATTGCATGTGTATATTATGATATGTGTGTACCTAGATTTATGCCTTGAATGTATTTTATAACATGTTCCCACTTTACATACTTGTTTATGTTTTAGCTAGCTAATAGGTAGTGTAGTTTATTTGGTTATTAGGATTTTGCCTCACTCCGTGTTATATTTTACAGGTGACATGACCAATAGGAGCAAAGAGAAAGACAACCAGGGAAAGAGTAGATTAGAATTCTACTTTTGTAATGCCTTTTAGACTTTTGTTTTATCTATAATTTGTGTGTGTATATATATATATATATATTATTACCAATTAGGATGCATGATTATCTTAGTACATTAGCATGGATTACTTATGTGAGTATGTTGTAATTTGGCCCTAAATGGTCATTTAATGTTTTGACTATGTAATGGGGCCAAATTACCATTACAAGTGTGTATTTGGTCATATTAAACTCAATGTGATAATTTGTTGAATCATTTAATTGGCCGAACTTTATTGAGTGAATGACCCTTTTTGTTTGAAATATTGAGGTCTAAAAGGCCAAACATCATCTGGACTATGTTATTATGCTTGTAATTTCTCTATTAAGTGTGTTCAACCTATTGGACTTGGTTCAAGCCTTAAAAAAGACTAATGGCATTTAATT